ACAAATTAAATCTATAGATCCCTCAGCTGTACAAAGTGATCAAACAAATTAGCACCTGAAAGAAAAAAATCCCATATCCGAGCAAAGCAACAGACCACATACTTGAGCCCAAGCCTTACTCAAGTCTTAGGAGAATTATAAGCATCTATCAGCTCTAATTCTCGAAACTTGTTTCCAAACTGAACCAAACTTTAAACGGAACTGACCTGAAGGCCTCTCTAATCTTTCAGCTGATGGTCCTGCAGCATTCAAAGCTTGTTTCCCACTTGGCTGTTGAATGGAAAAAACAATAGGCAAGAAGAGATTAGAAGAATCATCATGTACCAAGAAATAGGAAAAAAGATATAATCTTCTTTCTTTTCTGTTTCCCATTATAATAATAAATATTAACGAAGAAAGAAATACTGACTCGTGCTCTTGAACTGGAACCAGTCTGTGGATACTTCAAAATGGTCCAATCAAACACGTAATCAAACTGATAACCTGCACAAGTTATAGTTGTAGAACTTTAATTTTTAGTTTTGGAAGAGCTCTCCTGAAAGAAATTTGCGTTGTGGTAAAGAACTTCATCAATGAAAACAACAAACCAAGAAATAATTTTGAACTGTTAGACTTAAAAATTAACCTTCTCGAATAAACAAGTCCCGGAAAAGCCTCTTCAAGTATGAGTAATCAGGTTTGTCTTCAAACCGCAATGACCGGCAATAATGGAAGTACGATGTGAACTCTGATGGATAGGATTTGCAAAGAACCTGGATGGTAACATATCACTGTTATATATGAGAGTATTAAGATTTAACAGCAGGACAAACCACAAACACACAACATTTGACTGCTAATCTAAGAGACCGTGCACATGTATTTCATCAAACTGATGTCCTTGGTATACCTCAATGGGAGTAAGCATCTTTTTCTCGCTAATTTTATCATATTTCTGCTTTTTGGTACCTGCTTTTAGTCCCTGCCATGGAAGGCTGAGAAATAAAAACAAAGTTAAACATGACTAAGTCACATAAATACAAAAAGGTGAAAGTGATTCAGTTATGTGTTAAACCTTCCCCGTAGAAAATACATAAGCACGTAACCAAGGGATTCCAGATCATCTCTTCTGCTTTGCTCTGAATGAAAAGTAGAATCATCATTAGAACAAATATAAAGCTTGATGAATCTGAATATGATATCAGAAACAAAAGACAATCCTAACAATAACTATACTCACCAACTCCAAGGTGAGTGTTTACACTTGCATAACGAGCTGTTCCTGTAAGATTCTTATTTTCCCTGTGAAAAACAGAATGAATATTCATTATAGACAATGAAAGGCTTCAAAGAGAACAAGGTTCTACATTCATCATTACAATTGGAATATCCCGAAATTCAAAATGCCAGAAAACATAGATGGAGAAACCACAAAAAATAGGCCAAGAGACCAAGTAATACAACTTTGGGGCCAAAATACATGTAAAATGACCAAGCAAGATTTAAACCCTAAATATATAAAGACAGAACATAACTTGAGCCAAAACCACTAATAACTGAAGATGGCTTACAGAAAACTAGATGTAACTTATTAAAATATAGACAGGTCAAAATCAATGCATCTTGGGATACATTTACATTTAAGAACTTGTAAGCAATTGTAAATCCCAAGTTAAAATATAAGACTGTATTTCAAACAGCTATTTCTCCAAGTGTATTGACATTTCTTTCTAAATTTCATCATGCACACATTGATTCACAACCAAGGAGCATACTTCCATGTGAAAAGCAAAAACCAAATGTAACATGATGCAAATTGTAACTGAACATTTCATATTATAAAGCACCACTAGCATTCACATTTTAGAAGGCCACATTTGTGCAACAGTAGATTACATTAAGTTCTATTGCAACACAAAGTAAGCCAATTGTGGCACAAGTTACAAAAAACATAACCTTAAATTACACAAACAAAAAAGGGAAAAAGGGAAAAAGGAAAAGTAGTACCTGTATGGTATATGCTTGTGTGTTTGAAGATCCCTATACTTCTTTGCAAGGCCATAATCAATGATGTAAACCTGTTATCAAGCATAAAAAACAAACAGAAATTTGTTAATTCTTAGATACATCATCGAACACATTTGACAAATTAATTTCACAAAGTATTCATCGAAGGCACCATGAGTGTTGAATTCTAGACTCTTTTAGGATGTCCAAGTCTCTTTTTTTTTTTAACCTTGTGATTCTTTCACTATTCAACTAATTTATGTATTCAGCGCCTGATTCTTCACCCTTTTGTAAGTCTTATCCCAAGTGACTTCTATCTCACACTTCGCCACTTTCTTGATCTTAAAGTTCCTAAAAAGTCTCCCTCTTATAATTGAAATCCTCCTGTCATACTGTAGATGCTTGTTCTCGCTTTTGCATATCTTTTATTCCAATCGAATTCTATCTCAAACTGCATCTCTTTCTTGATCTTAAATTTCTTAGAAAGTCTCCAAATTTCAAATGACATCTCTTTGACTAAAAATTTTCTGTAGTACTAACTAGTTTCCACATGTAACACTGCTACAACTTGTACTCCAAACCTCACATTAACCCTAAACCCTACAACAGGTCATGCTTCTTGAATAAACTGAAAGTCATAGAACTTCTATGCCAGATTTCATCTTATCTTTTTCATGTCTGATCTTTTTCCCATAAATATCTTCCTTGCATTAATAACAAGCACAATTGGTGACAAAATTGACAGCCAAAATTTTCATAAACAAAAATCTTACCATAGTAAAAAAATTCAAATTTTTTAAAATTGTTGAAATTCCATAAAATCCCACGTCTACAAATATCTATACTTAGTCTGCTGAATGGATGTCTTTCTACAGGAAACAGATACTCGTGGTTGTAGTGTACTAAGAGTGCAGAACCACCCAACTAATACATATAATAATCTAATATTTGAGTCATATGCCACATAAGGTGACATACAGTATGTGAGACAGGTAGTCAGGCACACAAATATGGTATAATCATGCTTGAAGGTTAAAGCCAAACCCCCACCTTGAATGATTCAAATAATCCACAATAAACTAATGGCTCTTGTTTTTTCTTTCAGCATTGTTCCACAAATTATTACTACAGCAACCAAATATTCCAGCCAAAAGAGTTTTACAGATATTTACATCTCAAAACTAAACATTTCTAGTAGGAGTCACATCGAAACTCTCAACAGAATTATCAATCTTGTTCCAAGAAAAAATTCCAATGTTTAGATATGCACAAGCAACTAAATATGAAAGTAATAAATCATTTAACATGCCTGATTTGATTTGCGCCCTAAACCCATTAAAAAGTTGTCAGGCTTTATATCACGGTGAAGAAAACCACGGGAGTGCATATACTCAACTCTGTTTATCTATCAAACACAACAAAATAAAAACAAAACATAAGTATGGCAACTACATGAACCACAAAAAAGTTTCTTGAGAGCATTGGCAGACTTACCAACTGATCTGCAAGCATTAAGACTGTTTTCAAAGTGAACTTCCGATTACAATAATTAAACAAGTCTTCCAGGCTAGGTCCAAGAAGGTCAATAACCATGACATTATATTCGCCCTCAACTCCAAACCATTTGAGATGGGGTATACCCGCTTCACAGCAACAAAAATATCAAATAAATAACAAAACAGTCAAATAAGTATATTGAGTTCAATCCACAGAAATAGAAATGACCCACTGTATAAATTTTACTCCGGAAAAATAGCTATACAAGAAACTTACTTCCTCCTTGAAGCAGCATGTATAATTTGGATTCATAGTGAAGCTGAGGATGCTTGGTCTTCACAGACTCCTGGACAAAGAAAAAGGAAGACAAATGAAGATAGGCAAAACACTTAAAGTCTACTTCATTGCAAAAATAATAATCATTTTCTCTTTTCAGATCTTTATTATACAAACCACTGAAGAAACTATCAAGTACATCCCCATATAATAAACTTCATTATATAACCTGCTCAGTTAAGTGCTAACTCCAGTAGTATGATATCTATTATAGAAGATCATCCATGTGAAAATCAAGAAGTATCTAACTTAGCACACCCAAAAGGGAATAACTCTCAAAGTTAAATTATTCAATAGCCATCTTTTCATCCACTCATAAACAATAATTAATCTTCACAACACAGCCAAATAGTCACTCAATGAATTAAACTAAGAAAAGAAATATAAAAAATCAACAATTTTACCATCAAATAAATGATCACTCACCATCCCAAAAAAAGAAAAAAAAAATCAAACTATCCAAAAAATTAAGAAGATTACAATAGCATAAAAGTCTACAACATACCAGCTTAACAGCAACTTCCTCACCGCTTTGCACA